AGAATTTTCAATATTTCAATATGTTAAATTTACCAGCAGCCTTTGATAATAGAAGCAACAAATAGAATAATCAGCGTCTATATCTTGGATGAGTCTAGAGGCATACTCAATATAAACATTTGTACCACTTGCAGTTATAGTTTATTGCAGTTGTTAGTTCACAGGTGACAAGTAAAGCCAATATGTTTCAATGGAAATGCCTCCCCTTTGCCAGGGCTACTATACAAGGAAATAATGAAAAGCAACTGATGAATATCTCATACATTTGGTGTATACTACTAAATCACTTATACATTGTAAACTTAACATGGTAAGACAGGCAGATCCAGTAAAAAAGCAAACCATATGGAAGAAAGCAAATGGATACTATAAAATATAATAAATGTATAGAAGGACACAAATTCTCAGAAGGTCATACATATTTTGGTATCAACTCCCCTTGGATAAAAGATTGTAATTAAGGATAATGGGCATTTGTGTAACAGCAATATTGAAAATACTATAATAAATCATGCAAATACAATTAATTTAGAAATAAAAATAAAATTGTGTAACAAAAGATTAAAAAACTAAAAAATAATGTCTGGTGTAACATGCAGGAAGGTGGGACTGACCTGTGATGGTGGAAGTGGTCAGAAACAGATCTGGAACCAGAAATCTGTTTGGTGGGTAAAGCGAGTCTACAGTATAAGTAGCCATTTTGTGGTACCTGGACATGCTGTGTGGCAGTTGAAATATATTGTAATCAATTATAGACATAAACTGAGGAGAAGTGGTTATCAGAAAAGGGGAGGTTGAATAGATACATAAACTTAAAATCTATTGTAAGGGTCTAAATCTGAATTATGACTTGTAGCTTTTTTGGTGATAAATGTTTTTTTCTAGGTTACTTACTTATGTGTACTAGTTTCTCTTTATTTTGAACTGAATATCTTCCCTGAAAGGAATCCAGACTGGTCTTTGTATCCTTTTGTGGCACATTTATATACACTTGTTGCATTATTATTCCAATTGTGTTATAGTGTTGATTTGTAGTGGTGAGCCAAACTGCCCAGGGTTCAGCTAACTTCAAAAAATGTTTGGATGGCTAACTTGAACCCCACTTAAATCAATAGGTGCTGAATCTGGTAAACTAAAAATGTACATTTCTGTACCTAATGGGCAAGGGAGTGAAAAAATAAGATAAGGGGGACACTGCCCTGGGGAACATGTACCAATGCAAAAAAAAAAACTTTTCAGCCAGGTGTAGTGATTTTTTAAATGCTTAAAGTGAAACATTAAAAATGTCCAATTCCTTTAAAAATAAAATGCCTGGGGTGTCCTCATCTGTGTGATGTACAAAAAGGGGTGCAGCAGCACTGACATTTACATAGGAACAACATTTTCAAATTTCCAGCATTGACAGCTTCTTTGCTTTTTCATAAAACAGCACACAAACCCCTCCAAGAGTCTGCAATGTATTTGGGGAAAGCTGGCAATGAATGTAATTTGTCAGCAATTTAAAACTGTATCATTTTTTTTTCTTTGTAAATGTCATTGTGCTGAAAAAATAAAGTAAAAAAAAAAATATGTGTGAGGTTCAAGCATGCAGCCTGGCTGATCAGGAGAGTGGGGAGATGAGCATGCAACCCCCTGGGTTGGGGGTGCAGGTTGAACCGTCAGTCCATCCCTATTGATTTTTGATACAGTTGTGCTCAAAGGTTTACATACCCTGGCAGAAGTTGTGAAATGTTGGCATTGATATTGAAAATATGACTGATCATGCCAAAAAATGCTCTTTTGTTGAAGGATGATGATCATATGAAGTAATTTATTATCCAATAGTTGTTTGGCTCCTTTTTAAATCATAAAGATAACAGAAATCACCCAAATGGCCATGATCAAAAGTTTACATACCCTGGAATGTTTGGCCTTGGTACAGACACACAAGGTGACACACACGGTTTAAAATGCCAATTAGAGGTTAATGTCCCACATCTGTGGCTTTTTAAATTGCAATTAGTGTTAGTTTTTTAAATAGTCAATGAGTTTGTTAGCTCTTACATGGAAGCACTGACTAGGCTAGATACTGAACCATGGGGATCAAAAAAGAACTGTCAAAAATCCTGTGTAACAAGGTAATGTAACTTTATAAAGATGGAGAAGGACATAAAAAGATGTCCAAAACCTTGACTATGCCAGTCGTAACTTCCACTAAGAAGTAGAAAATTCCTCATGCTCTGAGAGTACTGTTGATAACCAGCAATTGTGACAGGGGAGATCTGCACTGATAATCAGTGCCCAGCAGTGCCACCCATCAGTGCCCAGCAGTGTCACCCAGCAGTGCCGGCCATCAGTGCCACCCATCAGTGCCCAGCAGTGTCGCTCAGCAGTGCCGCCCCTCAGTGCAAAGCAGTGCCACCCTGTCAGTGCCCAGCAGTGCCGCCAGTCAGTGCCATCTGTCAGTGCTACCAGGCAGTGCCGCCCATCAGTGCCGCCTATCAGTGCCCATAATTGCTGCATATCAGTGCATCATCAGTGCCTCCTCATCAACATCCACCAGTGCCGCCTCATCAGCATCAACTCATCAGTGTACATCAGTGCCGCTTATCAGTGCTCATCATTGCTGCATATCAGTGCATCATCAGTGCTGCCTCATCAGTGCCTATAAGTGCCGCCTCATCAGTGCCTATCAGTGCTCTCTATCAGTGCAGCCTCATCAATGCACATCAGCGAGGGAGAAAAATTACGTGTTTGCAAAAGTGAAAAGGTCTGCCCATAACATCATTCAGCATGACCGTTTTGGTGGTGTGTCAGTGATGGTGTCAGGATCCTGTTCACGGCAGAAGTTTTGGAAGATCTGCCATTTCTGCCAGTACTCTACATGGCCGCAGAGGTACACATCAGCCTCAGTCTGGTGATAGATGGCCTTTATAAGGAGGCTCATCACTTCCTCTGATTGCTGGATGATCTCTAGCTCCCCGTGCCCTGTTCCTGGTTCCTGTTTCCTGTGATTCTGACCTGTGATTTACTGTTACCAACTCGGCTTGCTCCTGGACCTGTCTACTCTGATTTACCCCTGATCTGACAACAGCTTGGCTTATGGATACTCTCTCTCTCTCTCTCGCTCCTCTGTGAATGACCTCGGCTATCCCATCTGACTACGACCGCTCTGATTCCCACCTGGTACCTGACCTTGGCTTGAACCGACTATCCAGTAAACATCCAAATCCTGGGAAGGGCTTGCATACCACACACAGGGCACCTCCTGTCTGCAGACCTATCTCCGTGCACCAGCTGTGTTCTGAGTGGACCACCAACCAGCACTCCTACAGGCAACCTGCGCAACTTTGGGCCAGACTCCCGCTGTCCCACTCTCAGGGGAGTCCAGAACTTACCCACAAGGAAAGCCCTCTCTCCATTGGCCTCCATCACCAGGTACGTGATAGATGGCCTGTGGAGGCATATCTATGGAGGGACACACAGACCTCTACAGGCTAGACAATGGCACCCTGACTGCCATTAGGTATCAGGATGAAATCCATGAACCAATTGTCAGACCCTACGCTGGTGCAGTGGGTCCTGGGTTCCTCCTGGTGCACGACAATGTCTGGCCTCATGTGGTGAGAGTATGCACACAGTTCCTGGAGAATTAAGGAATTGATACCATTAAATGGCCCCCATGCTCGCCTGACCTAAATCCAATAGAACATCTCTGAGATATCATGTTTCTGTCTATCCAATGCCATCAAGTCACACCTCAGAATGTCCTAGGAGCTCAGTGATGCCCTGATTCAGATCTGGGACATAATGCCCCAAGACACCATCTTCATCTCATTAGGAGCATGCCCCGACGTTGTCAGGCATAAAATTACATGGGTGCTATGCAAACTGCATAATTTTTTCACTTTGATTTTCGAGGTATCTTTGAATTCAGTCCTCTGTAGGTTGATAATTTTCATTTCCATCAAATGATGGGGCATCCTTACATTCCTAACACATTACCCAGTCCATATTAGTATAGATATCTAGCATGATATTTTCCCCATTGAGATCTGATGTGTTTACAAAGAAGTGAGCAGTGTATATCACAAAGGGGATCACACCCAGGAGACTGAGGTGGGACATTGCACCATATGATGGTTTGCTTGATGAAGGATTGTGTAATAAATAGTTTGCTTTTTTTAATTTTTAAAAATTGTGAAAGAAATTTATTTGCTTGCTAATACAGAGGAGGAGAAAAAAGAATATGTTTAATTAGATTGAAGATAAACTGATGCCTTTTAAATAATTGCCAGACTGTTTACAAGCTGGCAAGCTACAGGAATTTTTAACAAAGTTAGATACTGATGTTAAAAATATTCAGGGAGATGTTTGTGATTACAAAAAAACATGGATGTATACATGGCAGAAGGAGGCATTAAAAACTACTCTGGGTTCTAATGAATGCTCACCTGAGAAAACCTGTAATATCACATTGGGGACCAAGTAAATTAGTCCTTGAAGAATACACAAACCAGTGGATAAACATTGGATTACACCTAAAAGTAGAGACAGAGGGAGAAAAAGCTCAGGGAACTTTAGAAGTCATGGAGAATCTAACCACAATTTGCACCCTTACAAGATTGAGGACAACGGTATAAAGGGGAATATCCCAGGAAATATTGAAAATTATAGAGAGAGATCAAATGAACAGGGACTATTTATATATTGTAAAGAAAAATAAAAAATCTTTATACTGGTGGCTGAGCCAGTAAAAAGGAAGAGAAATTAAGTGGGAGATGAAAGTGAGCCAACAGCTTTGAAATGATATATGGGTATACATAGTATACAGGGGTACTATTCACAATTATTCTCGATTACTTACATGTTTGGATGTGTGCATGGGTTTATATATGTACAGTATATATATATATATATATATATATATATATATATATATATTTATATATATAAATTTTTTTTTTAAATATATAAATATTTATTTATTTATTTTTGGGTGCATATGTCTTTGGGAATGTATAAATTTTTATATGCATGATTTATTTATAAATATATTATGCCCATATAGAGATTACACAGTGGGTCTGGTTTCCTGTGGATGACAGCTGTAGCGGTCAGTAGACTGGGCTGGGGGTGGACTGACCATTTGGAAACTCGGGCACTGCCCGAGGGCCCGGGTCAGTAGGGGCCCCATGAGATGCCCCTGGTACCTTTTTCATAGGCTTTTTTAGTGTGGGCAAGGACACAGGGGCCCCATGAAATTGCCCGGGGGCCCCATGAGTATCAGTCTGCCCCAGACTGGCTCATCATCATTCTCACACACATACTGTAATTTCCCTCTATGTCCAAGCAGCACTTCTCTTACTTGAATGTAAATTTGGATATTTGTTTAATAAATGACATATTGTTTTAATAATTCCAGCAATTTGGCTACCTTGTTGTCTTCTATTGAAAAAAAAAGAATGTGGAGACCAGCAAGTTGAGAAAGCAATGCACTTCATCCAAGAATCCCAGAAGAACCTTGGATTACAGCAGGCATACAGTATACCTCACAAAGGCAGAGAAGAGATAGAAAGAGAGGAGGCAGAGAGGAAGTAGAAAAAAGAAAACAAGAATTTAAGGGGAAGAGGTTTTTAATTTGTGTTTTAACCAAACAGGAAACTATGGTTTAGATTTAGGATTAACCTTTGCACCTAGGAGACCAATTATTTAATTTGATACCTATATAGACTTCAATAATTTGTTACAAAATGAAATGTGAAAAAAAAAAAACACCTTGTTTTATTCCAGGCCCTACAACAAGAGTCGTATATATATCTGGTGGCCCTCACTATGCTCACTATGATAGTAAATTGGCTAATTGGTCTTTAATCCCCCTATGAAATCTAATTAATTTATTGAAGTATTTCAAATTATGGTGGATAATGATATTAGAAAATTGAATACATAAAATAACAAAAGATTATATTGTGCTGAAAGAGGGAATAAATAATTAGAAATGAACATAGATCTTGTTATCAGACAGGTAGATAAGGGAGGGGGGTAGTCTTACTTAATGAGGTTGATTATGAAAAAGAGATTAAAAGAATTTCATCAGATAATGAAACATAAAATCTTAAAAGCAGGTTGAAAATGTAAATTGATGGAAGAATTGAAGGAATTGCTGAAAAAAGGAAAATGGGAACATTGGATAAAAAATACTATAATGTAAGTAAATACTTAAAACCTTTAACCCCTGGATCATGGTAAAGAGCCGATGACACTCTATCATGTGATTAGCTGTGTCCAATCACAGCTGATCGCAAGTAAATAGGAAATACCGGTTATCGGCAGTCCTCTCCTCACGCTGTAACCGCGTGAGGAAAGGAGAGCAGGTAAGTGGCATTCCTCAGAGGGGACATCTACACTGATCATCAGGGCACTGATGATCAGTGATCTGATGATCATTGTAGCCCCATCAGTGGTACATTTCAGTGCCCATAATTGCCACCTGTCAGTGCCCATCAATGCCACATATCAGCGCCCATCATGCCACATATCAGCGCCCATCAGTGCACATCAATGCCACATATCAGTGCCCATAAGAGCTGCCTTTCAGTGCCAACTATCAGTGCCAGTCAGTGCCGCCTATCAGTGCCACCTATCAATGCCCATCAGTGTCACCAATCAATGCCACCTATCAGCGCCAGTCATTGCTACCTATCACTGCCCGTCACTGCCGCCTAACAGTTTGAATCAATGCCGCCTCTCAATGATAGTCAGTGCCACCTATCAGTGCCACCTATCAGTGCCATATATGGGTGCTGCCTTTCAGTACCCATCAGTGATGCCTGTCAATGCCCACCAGTGATGCCTGTCAATGCCCACCAGTGATGCCCATCAGTGCCTCCTCATCAGTGCCGTCTATCAGTGCCATCAGTGCCCATCAGTGCAGCCTCATCAGCGTACATCAGTGAAGGAGAAAAATTACTTATTTTCAAAATTTTATAACAATCTAACATTTTTTTTCAAAATTTTCAGTCTTTTTTAGTTTGTGTAGCAAAAAATAAACCCAGTGGTGATTAAATACCACCAAAAGAAAGCTCTATCTGTCTCAAAAAAATTATAAAAAAAATATTGTTTGACCGGGTTGTATTCAAAGTGCGACAGCATGAAGCTGAAAATTGGCCTGGGCAGGAAGGGGGTAAAAGTGCTCCGGTAGGCAAGTGGTTAAAAGAAAGTTGGGGGTCTCCATCCATGTATTGACTACCAAGGTTTAAACCAAATCACTGTAAAGGACTCTTTTCCTCTGCCCCTTATCCTAGATCTATTTGATGATATCCATCGGTTGCTCTGGTCCACACGCAGCTTATTCCTTTTAAGTTGCCAAGTCCCCAGTGCTGTATTTAAGGCCCATGGTTAGGCGTGTAGGCGTGACTTTATAAAGGAGACCACGCTTCCAAAATGCGTCATCATAGCAACGACGCAGAGCACATTGATCACTTCCCTCTTCTTTCCTGGGTTGCGTTCTATTGGGACAGAGCGCGAAGCTGGCTGTCTGGGCGCAGGTGTAGAAGCAAAGATTGTTGCAAAAATCTCCACAACTCTTCTACAGAAATTACAAGAAGCTCAGAATTGTATTCTCTAAGATCTTAAAGGTGCCGCCAGGTCATCTGTTTATAGCTACTAGTCTCAGGCAGACTGTACTTCTTTGGGCTCATGATGAAGTATTGTCTGGTCATCCTGGTGTCACTATCACCTTAAAGACTTTGGAGCGTCATCTTTGGTGGCCAGGTATGAAAAAATATGTTACAGTTTATGTGGCTGCCTGTCCAATTTGTGTTGCTAATAAACTCACATTACCTACCGGCTTGCTACAGCCACTCACCACACCTCAACAGCCTTGGACCCTTTTGACCATGGATTTTTATCACATATCTACAAAAATCTCATGCCATGACTGTAATATGGGTCATAGCGAATCGCTTTTCTAAAATGTCTCAACTTGTACAACTTTCTGGACTACCTACAGCTACAGTATTATGTTTGACTGGGGTTCCCAATTCATTTCCTGATTCTGGAGAGCATTGTGTACGAAGTTGGTGGGTAACAGTGTCTCTCTCTACTTCACACCACCCACAAACTGTTGGACAAATCTGAACACATAAACCAGCCCCTCAAGACTACCTTCGATTGCCAACTCATTACATTCAAATTGGTTTCAGTATTTGCCCATGACCATTAAACTCCTGTTGGCACAGTGCCCTTCAAACCACAACTTTTTATGCAGCTCTAGGCTACCATCCACGTCCTTTCCCGCACTGCAACCTTCTTCTGGTGTACCAGCTGCAGATCAGTGAGTAAAACATGTATTGCTATATAATGAGAAATAGACTATGTAAGACAGCAGGCAAATATACGCTTTTTCCTGATAGACAAAGGTGCCATATACCTCCATATGCAGTTGGAGACAGAGTTTAGTTGTCTGCTAAGTAAGCGCGACTGAATCAACCTTCTACCAAATTGGGCCCTAAATTTATCACTCCCTCCAGATTGTTTCTTTAGTTGGACCAATCTCTTATCACCTGAAATTGACTTCTTCTCTCTGGATACATCCATTTTTTCATGTTTCTCAAAAAGGCAATCTTTGACTGTCACTCCAGACCACAACAACCACCTCCTCTTCTCAATGGGCAACATGAGTATGAAGTGTCTAAGATCTGGATTATAGAAGTTGAGGCTGTGGTATACAATACCTTGTTAACTGGAAGGGATATCCTGTAACTGATTGTTCTTTGGTTCCTTCTAAAGATTTGCATGCTCCCGCTCTTATTCATGACTTTCATGCTGCACTCCCCACTAAGTCTCGCCAGGCCCTCAGAGGGATGCATTGGGAGAGGGGCCTGTCATGTGTCTGACTAAGGTAGTTGATGTAAATGAATTGTATAGAAATATAAGACAGACAGATGGAAGAGGTGGTCAGATGTATCTTAGAGAAGGAATCAGAGTTGGATATTAAACAAATTATTTATTTATTGGAATGTGTTTAAATGTGTGATGATTTTAGTATGGGATAGCAATGAGGGCTAAATTTGCCCCAGTGTAGCAAACTATTTTATGGCAAAATGAGAAGTATATTTTTAAAAAATGGTCAAATATAAAACTTTAAAGGCATTTTATTGATGTTTGTATAATATGGGAGGGAACATTGAATAGTGTGGAGACTTAAAGTGGGTTTAAAGTCAAACAGTTTTTTTATTTTAATGTATTCCCTGAATTAAAGTAAAATAAAAGCCCCCCACCATTCCCCTTGACCCAGCGCTGTCTCAGCTGCAGCAGAGCTCTTTTTCTTCCTGGTCTCACAGAAGCCATAGGCTCCTGCTGCTGTCAAGCAAACTCCTGGGTGTGGGGTGTGGCTTTCCAGTGCTCTGTGTTTCTATGGACACACATAACCTGGTTTGGGAGTATGCCCACATTGGTGCCCCCTTAGTACCCGGCTTGCTAGGGGGACTTTCAGAGGAAGAAGGAACTGACAATGCTGGCAGGAGACCGCCAAAGAGGAAGTAAGGGACAGTTTTGTGCAATATCTTTGCACAAAGCAGGTAAGTGTATAACCCCTTTTTTTTATTTAAAAAAAAAACTTTTTTAATGATAATATTTATGAGATTAACTTTACAGGGGATTTGAATAACAAAATATTAATATTTTGGATCTGATTATTTTTAAGGATAGAAATACTATATGATATGTACAGAACATATTTTAAAACAACTGACTGAGTTTACTACATCCCTACCTATAGCTGTCATCAACTGAAATGAATAAATAATGTTTTAAAAGAACAGGTAACTTTGATAAGGGGGAACTGTAACAGGGCAGAAGATATTAGGGTAGACACCAGTATAAAAGAGATATATTTAAAGGCTAAGTTCACCTTTTATTAAAAATGATAAATGCACATCTTTTTGCAGGTAAAACAATATGTGCATTTACTATTAACTTTTTGTAAGAGTCTGTAAAGCATTGCACCCACACTCAACAGATTGTGAATGCAATGCAGGGCTCCTGTAGACTGTCAGTGTAAGCTGTCTGCCCTACTTCATAGGGGCAGGCAGTTACTGAATGGGAGGAGGAATTAATGGCCTACTACTATGCTCACCATTACCCTCGCAGTCCATTGAGGACTACAAGCCTTGAG